AAACTCATGGAAATAGATTCTGGGCTTCCCGTCCGAACTCTCCTATATTCAATCGGTCTATGATAGACCGTCTATCGCTCTACCACAAGACATGACAATCATTTGAACTCAGAGTCCAAAAACATCGAAAGTCACTGAGAACAGACAACAAAAAGCAGAACCAAGGGTGAGGTGTGCGGTTGATTCCAGCTTGGCGGTATGCGGCCTTGATACAACTCTCGCCGGACAGGAATCATCACAAAGTTGTGGCGAAAGCCTGTCACAATACCAGATTTGAACAAATCACCTGGCGATACTCGACTCCGACTCGAGAACATACCAACCGTGATCGATAAAAGGCGGATATCGCCAAAGATGGTGTAATCTTCATAAACAAATGATTATACCAAGATATCGGCGTTTTACGACACGTACTTGGCGAACACCGATAAGTTTACCAGGTTTTATAGCAATATCTGGGCCACTGGCATGTTACACCAATACCAAGTTGCTGTAACCGTGCGCACAGAACGGAATAGATCGTTTGGGCGAACGAAATTACGGATTACCTCAACCAGTTTCCGCCACATCTCGGTGAAATTCGTTAGGTGTCGACGCCAAAGAGGTGAAATATGGTCCAGAAGCGGTCGTATCCCATGATTGGGCGTGTTGGCGAGAGTTCATTAGGACCCGAAATCACCAAGCTTGGCGAGTTGGTGAAACCTGGTTCTCCGCCTGATGGACAGCGTCGAACAGCCGAGGGCAGAGAGGGCTTATACATTATATCCCAATCCTACTACTTCCGGGAGCAAGTACCGAAGAGGGTGCAGCCACGCACCGTGCGTGACGCACGCACTATCGGCACACTCACTGAGAGTCACTCAGACTCTGTGTCTCTGAGTGTCTTTCTCTCATCGGTATTTCTAGGGTCGGTTCCTGGAGAACCAACCTACTAGACCCACGCGACCAGGAGTGGGATATTTAACCGCCACATGTGCGCTCTGATGAAGTTTGTGTGCTGCTGTCCCCGATACGTGGCGACTAGCGATGACCAGCATGGGAAATATGTACATGCTCAACAACATGTGTTAGTGGCAATATCGAAATTCTGAAAGACTTTTGCTTCTGAGCACTAGTTTGCATATTCATGTTCACAAAAAGTGAGGAAACTCCTGAGCTCAGCTGAGGAAAGCAAACATATATTCCTACTCCAACACTGTGTTTGTGTAAACATCGAGGTAACATGCATCTTCTTAGTTCACGGATTTTGTTCATCAACATTGTCAAGGACCATCTCGACTGAGCCATAGTAGACATGCCAGATGTTGTTGCCAATACGTCGTCGGCAAACAGGAGATGTGGATTTCCAACGCACATCAGCGGGCACCTTTACATTGGCCTTATGTTCGTAGCTCTTGGTATAACATCACTCGTTCTATTCATTGCGACTCTATCGGGTCTGTGGTTGGTGCTTTTGGTGGGCTCTGTTACGCTCACTTGGGTGGTCTTCTTGACCAGGCCGACGTACTCCAATGTATTTCGCCTCGCTATAGCCCGTGGTGACACGAGGAAGAAGAAGACTATTGATCTCGACAGGGTTGCACCGGTCACTTGTAGTCCTTGTGGAGAATCCTGCTCGATTTGCTTAGGTGAATTCTACACTAAAAGGAAGCTCTCTCTGGCGAATGATGATCTGAATATCTCGTCGACTTTCACATTAAGCTCAGTGGATACTGTTGCTACCGCTAATTCTGATATCAGTAATGGCATATTTAATGTGAAGTCTAAGTACAGGACCCTACCCTGTGGGCACTCTTATCATGATCCATGCCTGGTGGAGTGGATCAAACACGAAGGGGATGATTTCTCATGTCCGCTTTGCCGATGGAAACCGACTGTGATTGAGGACACTAATGGAGTTTCACCCGTGATATGAAAAAAACACTAGTGAATACCTATCAACATTTCATAACATGTTTAATATGATATTAAAACATATCATATTAAGAACTCATTACGACTACTGCATAGCGCGAATATCGGGTTTTACACCGGTAAATCGCTCAGATAGTCCATTTGGTGGTACTATAGGTGTATATTTGTCATGACTGATGATAATCGTTATTGCCATTTCTGTGCACATTTCGTGTCCATCCGTAGCGTTTATCTCCTCTAAGTAGCTCAGTCAGTGTCATCTCATTGCTTCCCCCGCAACAACAATCCCCCTAAATTGCCGCTTCTGGTGGCTTCGGATTGTTGTGGGGTATTGGGGGAAATGTACTCGTGTGACTTCTGCCATATTTCGACCCAAGTTGGATCTCTGGTGGCAATTTTTGATGGACTTGATACCCGCAGACATGAGCGGCTATTTGTCGTCATTTGGACATGAGTTTATGGTACCGCTCCATCGTCACTTCTTCTGCTGTGGTATACTATTACTACTACTACCATAAGAGAGTTCGATGTGCACTTTTACTGGGAGCTATGTACTACACAGCGTATGTAAGCACCCAGTAGTTTATCTTCAACCATTGCTATCATGGATCTCCGTAACGGTGATTCTCATGCCATACATGACTTCCTCATTAACCAGGCGGCATTAGACCGGGGAGTAGCTTTCCAGTCGATACCACCTTTGTCCCTTTTGGCTCTCTTAGTATTCTTCGTTCGACTGTGACTCCTCCTGAGGTCCTCTTATTCTAGCCTTGCGCTCTTCACTGTATCTCTTTCATTTCCAACTGAAAAAAGGAGGATTGCGACTCTCTGATGGGGAGTTCTGGTAATGGTCCCCTCAAGTTCACGGCAATGCCCTGTAATCTGGTCAAGGCTGACACGCTCGACCAGTGTACATTGTCGAATGTTTTGCATACTGCATAAGAAGGCGGTATCAATAGAGACGTATAATGATACCCTCTAGTTGCGTTAGTTCGCGTTGGAGTGGTATTGTCTATTTGAATGGAGTGTGGAGGGGCAGTTTGAACCTACCTTGAACTATTCATCTACTTTGTCGGCGAGAATGTTGTGTCCTCCCCGATAGGGCTCAAAACTAAGACTACGTAAATCGATTTTCATCAGAACTTCGTTTTACTTCCAACTGCGAAACATCACGAATAATTCGTAGTCGTAATTTGAAAACCTCCAAGTCTAGTACGGAAATAAGGTCACCATAAAGGTTATATTCCGGGATTAATGATACTGCACTTGGGCGCTATCATAGTCTCGAGACGTTCATCGCATGACACCGGGGACAATATCAGATTTCCATCATTGGTGATTGTACACCTCTGATCCCTGAGTTGAATGGAGTGTGGAGGGGCAGTTTGAACCTGCCTTGAACTATTCATCGAATTTGTCGGCGAGAATGTTATGTCCTCCCCGATGGGGGTTTACTGAAAACTTCGACGACTACGTAAATCGATTTTCATCAGAATTTCGTTTTACTTCCAACTGCGAAACAACGCGAATAATTCGTAGTCGTAATTTGAAAACCTCCAAGTCTAGTACGAAAATAAGGTTACCATAAAGGTTATTTTCCGGGATTAATGATAGTGAACTTGTCGCTATCATAGTCTCGAAAGGTTCATCGCATGACACCGGGGACAATATCAGATTTCTATCATTGGTGATTGTACCCCTCTGAGGACTACTTGTTGTAGGTTTCTTGATCGAAGCCATGCTCAACCATCTTCTCCATCTCATACTCGTCGGTGTTGCCCTATCCCACGAGCCAGACGGCTCATATTTTCTGATCCTGTCTAAACCTTATTTGAATTTGGTTTATACATTCTCCGACAATGCTAAAACAGTGGAGGTTAGTTTCTACTGTGCGGTGGGTCCCAAACCAACTAAGGCGACCTTTGATGTCGATAAGGTGTCCGATGAGAGCTACTGGATAGATTTCCACAGTGATCTCTGGGGAAAGTTCAAAAAAAGCTTTGAGATTAGATGCGAGGATTACCTACCTCTGGGGTCATTGGACTTGTGGCAAATAAAGTACGCTGCTAAGTTCGACCAGCCGTCTATTCACCTCAAGGGAAAAACATGGAAGCTGGCACACCGAGAACCTCCTTCCCATTAGTTGATATTGTTTCGACAGTAGAATCTTTCAGCGTATCTACCGCTTTGGCAAACCATTATTCAGACCTTTGTTGGTCGTCCAATTTGCTATTTTTATGCTGGTACGTTGAACATTTCTGGATGGGCCGTCTCCAACTCTAGGAGCTTTTTCATACAATACCGTGACGTTGACTCTTCGAGTGTTATAGTGGTCGTAGTTATTTCATCAAGTATTGATAACGCTTCGCGGCTCATCCCCATCTGTAACCTTTCTTTCCCGTCTTCGCTTTCGGAGTAGGTAATACCTGCTTACGGGCGGATCAATAATCTTCTCCACGCTTTACTTTATTTCCTGTATGTCTGCGTGGTTATAAGCGGATCTTTCATAGACGAGTTGGGTTAATCATGCCTATCACCAGAAGCGGTAACAACAACAGGAGGACATCAGCTGAGTGGTCAACGCCTCTCATCGTGAGTACAAAAGACAATCCTTGCATATGGTACGATTGTTTGTGGACTTTACCTCCTTGACCTTTGGGATTGCCTTGTGTTACGCCAGTTAGGGGGCAACTCCTATTGGAATCTAAACTCCTCCTGGAGATGAAATTGGGAACCTATCTCGCCACGTCCACTGAGACAACTCCGATAAATACAGAAAAGAATATCATATTTCGAATATGAGCGCTAACTGATCGTTTCATCATGTCCGTGGCTTTCGCTGTTTGGGATGTCCGGGCAATGGTTTGAGACTGAAAAGTTATCACTAACGTCACTAATGTCCCTTTCATATTCGA